TATTTGCCAAGGCCATGTCAAAATGGATGGAAAGAAGGTGCAAGCTATTATGGAATGGTCTCCACTCGCCAATGTTGTGGAGTTGCAATCCTTTTTGGGTTTGGCGAATTACTATCGGAAGTTTATTGAGGGATATTCAAAGAAGGCTGCTCCCCTCACTAATTTGTTTAAGAAAGATCACAAATGGCATTGGTCCATTAATTGTCAAAAGGCCTTTGACAAATTGAAAGGTTGTGATAACCCTCAGCACTAATTAGTGCTAATCTATGATTAAGCATGTTAAGTGACTGATTGACTGAAATTCTGACTGATTGATCGAGTGTATTAGTTTAAATGCATTTCTATCTGTTTGATTGTTAATTGATCTGTTCATGTTTTAAGTGTCGAACTGTGAATTGAAGGCCTTATCGGCGGCCGAATCTAAAATTGATTAGTGTTTCATGTTAATTAGAATTTATGTGATTTTATGGTATGTTTAATTGAAATTTGATTTGGTATGATTAAATTAAATTACATTAAATGAGTTTATTACCCAATTTTCCATTTAGTGGGTCACTTGTTAAGACACCTTTGAGACTTGATTCACACACTTTTCCTCAGCCATTTTGAGACCAAAAATCGTAGGAGAGAGTGAGAGAGGAGAAGTTTGGTTTCATCTAGAGAATTACTTGGAGAACTTGAAGGATTGAAGAGTAGATTGCACAATTGAGCTTCCATTCTTGAAATTGAGGACCTAAGGTAAGAGAATCATCTTCTTGAACTTGAATTCTAGTTGTATCTTGCATGGTCCATGAGCCGTTAGTGATCTAAGTCTAGAATTGGTTTTAAATTGTTGAATTAAGGCTTAAATCATGCATGCATGTACATGTTCTAGCATTTTGAGGTTGTTTTCATGGAAATCCTCACATGCATGTCCATATTCTAGCTTTGGTCCATGAATTCAGCATGTGTTTTGGAAGGATTGACTCATTTGTTCTTGTATTAGAAGCTTTGAAGTTGATTAAATTCATGCATGTTGCATGTACATCATGTTCTTGAAGTTTTGTTTAGAAATGGGTTCAATTGAACTACCTTTGGGCTTTGATTTTGCAAATTGATTTTTGAAACATGTCATATTATGAGTTTTAAAGTGTTTTCCAGAAAATTAGCCCAAAAGGATCGAATTTGATGCTTTTAATGTTGAGTTTCATGCTTGAAGACAAATATGGAAATTCCAGATTTTGGATCCATGCTCGAGCGTACAATCTGAGTTCATATAGTCCGCTCGAGCGGGGAAAGTAACGCTCGAGCGTGAAATGCGTGTATCCAGTACCTTGCATGTGTTTACAATCCGCTCGAGTGAGGACTTGTGTCTTACGCTCAAGCGGGGATTGAGCGCCCGTTGAGCGTGAATTTCATGCATCCAGTACTTTTTCTGTCCGCTCGAGCGAGGAAAGTCACGCTCGAGCATAAATCTTTTGTCTGCATGTCTGCTCGAGCGTAGAAAGCCACGCTCGAGCAGGACCCCTGTTTCAGCAAAATTTGAAAAGTGTTTTAAAGCGCATCTTTGCATCCTCATTCCATCCTAGGCATTCCTAGACCTAGTTTAAGGCATCTTAATGAGGATATTGATGTAGAACCACACCAAGTCAAGTTAGGGACTAAGTCATTGATTCCCAAGTGTGTAACTTAGTGTGTGTTCATTCTGTAACTGTGTAAGGTTGGCATCCGAGGACGCTCTAGCCTATCTGTAGCCCAGTGCTCTGTGAGTAACAAGGTTGTAAAGATATATTCAATCATGAATATTTTCTGAATGGTCAACTGTACTGCTTTTTAAAATGATATTTCTTACTGAATGAATGCTTGTCCTATTTGCGAACTGTATTCGTGGCATCCATAACAATTTGCTGTTATTGTACTGTACTGCTACTGTCACAGAGATCTCTGTCGGTTCCCATGTTTGGAACCACTACTGTTTACTGATATGATGGCCATCAACTGACTGTTCGGTCTGTTAAGACCTACTATACTGTTTTGTTATGGGATGTACCACATATGATTGCTATGACTGAATGACTGATATACTGTTATAACTGACTGTTTTAAATACTGAAAGGACATTCATTCTTAACATCTTTATGCATATGTTATTCACTCGGCTTTAGCTCACTGTTTATATATATATATATATATATATGTAGATGTCCAGGCACCGGATCGAAGCTAGGAGCGTTGGGTTTAACTCCCTTTTTGTCAAGCCAATCACTGTGCCTCACTGAGAGGTTCCAAGTCCTTTAAGCTAGGGGTTTTTGGGGTGTTTTAGATTCATAATTTCTATCGCTGCTTTTGTATAGATTGATTGTACTGTATTGTACTGTTCTAATAGGGATTAGGTACTTGTCCTGGATGATTGTATATGCATGTACATACTACTTTTGTTCCGAATGTGAATGTGTTATGAAAAGTCTTTTTGCATACAGACTGTCATAACTCATTGGACATCTTTTATTACTGTTTTGGCTTCCACTAGCCCCTATACTCTGTATTACTGTTATTACTGTTAAGCAGGCCTTCGGTAATCACGGATTACTGGCCGGTTACGGTGCTAAACCCATAGGGCCGGGTTTGGGTCGTAGCAAAGGTGCAGTGGCAAGTGAACTGGTCTTGCGACTACCTAATTTTGAGTTGCCTTTCGAAGTACACACAGATGCCTCAGACAAAGCTCTCAGAGGGGTATTGGTGCAAGAAGGACACCCTGTGGCCTTTGAAAGTAGAAAACTGAATGCTGCTGAGAAGAATTATTCGGCCCATAAGAAGGAGATGATGGCAGTAGTACATTGCCTTCTCACTTGGAGGGTTTATCTGTTGTGATCTAAGTTTTTGGTTCTTATTTATAATGTGGCTAATACATTCTTCAAAACTCACAAAAAGTTGTCTCCAAGGCAAGCCTGTTGGCAGGAATTCCATGAAGAATATGACTTTGAGTGGCGACACAAGCCTGGACGACATAATCTAGTCGCTAATGTCTTAAGTCAGAAGGAGATAGTTGAATATGTGGCTGCTATTTCCAACATTGAATCATAATTACTGGAAATGATCAGGAATAGTGTTGCAATTGACTCAAAGTATCAACGGTTGGTGCAACAAGTAAATGATGGAATTGCTTCGGTATTGGCTTGAAGATGGTCTTCTCCATGGCAAAGGAGATAGGCTATATGTCCCTAGTGTTGGGAGACTGCGAATGGAACTTCTTAGAGAAATGCATGATCCGCAGTGGGCTGGTCATCCGGGACAACAACGCATAATGGCACTTTCGTCGCGTTCATATATTTGGCTAAAAATGGAAGAGAACATATAGGCTTATGTCAAAACTTGCATGGTGTGCCAATTGGACAAGACCGAAAGAAAGAAGGCAGCTGGGTTATTGCAACCATTGCTGATCCCTGAGAAGCCTTGGGTTTCAGTATGCATAGACTTAATCTCTGGATTTCCTAAAATTAATGGAATGCGTTCCATCATGGTAATTGTTGACCGTTTTTCTAAGTATGTTGTCTTTATCCCTGCTCCTCATGCTTGTCCTGCTGATATTGCTACTGATTTATTTTATAAGTATGTTGTAAAATACTTTGGCTTGCCTAAGGACATAATTAGCAATAGGGATACCCGGTTTACGGGAAGGTTTTGGATTGTACTCTTTAATTTGTTGGGTTCAGAATTACAGTTCTCCACAGCAAATCACCCTCAGACAGATGGCCAGACTGAGAGAATGAACGGATTGCTGGAGGAGTATCTCCAACATTATGTGACCGCAAGTCAAAAGAATTGGGTTGAATTGTTGGATAGCGCACAGTTTTGCTACAATTTGCACAGATCATTTGTAACCGGGATGAATCCATTTGAATTGGCCACAGGGCAGCAGTCTCTAACTCCTCACGAAGTGACTAAAACAAGCTCTGGTGGTAGATGTCCAGTAACATACCGCTTTGCAAGGACCAAACAAGAGTTACTAGAGGAAGCACAAGATAGTTTGGCTAAAGCAAGCAAAAGAATAAAGAAGTATGTTGACAAATGGAGGAGACCCTTAAAGTTCAAAGTGGAAGATAAAATGCTACTGAAACTTACTCCTCAAATTTGGAAGAAGATAAGCAGTAAGACAGTGTACCGTGGCTTAATTCTGAAATATGATGGCCCCTTTGAAATCTTAAAACATGTGGACAATGTTGTATACAGCCTAGTGTTGCCTGATCAGTTGGAAATTCACTCAACTTTCCATGTTAGTTTTTTGAAACCTTTTCATAAGAATCAAACAAACTTGACTAAGAAACAGGGTCGAAGGGCACCTCTGGTGGTCAGCAAGCAGTTTGACAGGGAGGTAGGACGGATTCTTAATTACAAGACCGAGGGTCAAAACAAAAAAAATCGAATAAATTAAAGTTATTTTCACTCTTCCTCCAAGTAGTCTCCGATGGTGTCTGCCAGATTATACCAGTATGCTAATTGGTTTTAGAGTCCTATGAAATATATTAGAATATATTAATTGTTGGGCAGTGTGGATTGACGCATAAGAGACTTTTTTATAGGCAAAAAAATTATTTTAAAATTTAAATCATACAATTAAATTTTTAAAAAAAATCTTAATGTGATGTTTTGAAATGAGAAGTGAGGAAGATGATGAATATTTGGTTGTATTATTTAAATTGTTGAAATTATAATTTTTTAATTTTACTTTTATTAAAAACTTTTGAAGATTAAATAAATAAAATTAATAGTTTAGGAATGAATCAACAATAATTTAAAGAATAAAAGTTAAATTAGGCCATATTTTTTATTTTTGCGTTATCTTTGGAGATAACTCTGAGCACTCCGCGTCGGCAAGCAGCACAAAGGAACAAGGAAAGCACGACACGTGTCCAGGCCAGCTGCGGATAGTGTATTAACACGTGTACAAGCGGTGCTCTCATAGCATGACACGTAGCAGTCACATTTCCTTATAAATAAAAGTATTCAAGCACTCACTAGCTCACGACACCAGCCAACCATCTTATGTTCTGTTTGGTTAACTCGCTCAAATTCATTGCAGTCGCTACAATTACACTCTTCAACTATTTCATTCTTCGCTCTCTTCTCCTACATTCACTATCCTGATTCACCGAAACAATCATATATCGTTTAAAATTACAGTTATTTGAAGTAATTGAAATCCATCGTTATGACGGTTGGATGTGTACAGTGTGGGACCCATAGTAACCCTTGTCGGTGCAAGATAGTGGGTCCCACACTGGGGTTTTTGGCGTTTGTGGGAGCTGCGGTGGTGGAGTGGCCGGTGGGAGCAGTGGTGTACTGCTTCCGACACATGAAGGGTCGCCGCATCATGGCTCATCCGGCCACCGTGGTTTATCCTCGGGTCTCCAATGCCATTCCCATTTGATGGAGATGTACTGTAACTTTACCTTCTGCGGCCGCCTGTTGCTTGCGTCTTGGTGTGGTTTTTTAATGTTTTTTTTTGTTTTTCCAACGTTCTCCTTGTACTAAATATTGTGATAATAAAGATGCAACCCGTTCTTCCCATATCTATTGATTGAATCAAATGTATAACTCAACAATTCATATTTGTATAAAAATTTATATTTGAACATATAATTTTAATAAGTATTGATGTTTGATACCCAAATATATTCGGTTATATATGTTTGATTATAGGTTAGATCAAAAAATTATTTCTTGATTTAAGATTGTCACGTGATCATGTCCTTACTTAATCATAAATTATTATATTTTTTTATATTTCTTAATTACTCAATACAAAATTTTAAAATTCACCCATTTAACCAATTACATCGCAGCTAAAATATTACGTGATTGGTTAGGTCGGTGCCATCAGGATTGCCTTGGAATGGAAATGCGTGTCCATCACCCTGAAGCATTTATTTATTGTTTAACTAATTTATTTATTTTGATTGAGATTTATTGTTTAATTTATTAATTTGTAACTGTGCTATAAAATTTTATATTTGTATGGTCTTCGCTTAGAAGACACTGCAATTTATTTCTTCATGCCCAAAACAAGCAAAGGTGCTGATTCAAAACAAATAAAGAAGAAAAAATTACAATTGAGTGTATGTCTTCCCAGTATAAAAAAAACAAAATAAATAAAATAAAAATGTATGTCTTCCAAAAAAAAAAAATTTAATTAGTGATAAGTTTTTAAATTTTTTCATAAATTTATAAATATTTTTTAAAAGCACTATTGATTTATAATTTTCTCAATAAAGAACCTATGTAGTTAAATAGTGTGCCAATCACGGGATCAGGGCCCAACCTCCTTTGACCCAATTTGAACTTAAAAATTTTGCTCACAACCACCAAAGTTCTAGAACCTACCAAGCTTAACTTTCTGTGCACTTATACGTGGTAGCTACAGCATGATGATGTGACACACCAAGAACTAGAATAAAGTAAGGAGAAATGCTAGAGAGCTCTAAATTTAGAGCTCTAATTTGAGTTCTAGTGATGTGTCAAAGTAAAAAAAAAAAAAACAAAACAAAACAAGGCACAAACATCACATCATGGTGGGTCCTACCTTCCCATTAGAGCTATTAGAGCTCTTATATTAGAACTCTAAAGCATTTTTATAAAGTAAGAGATAAATTTCTCCCATGAAATTTATGAGAAATTTAAATTTAATTTTTTTAATTAAATCTGAATCATACATTAAATTACGAGGTCCAGTTCACCCCGTTGTAATTAAAGTGCACCATTTAGTTCAATTCGTATAATCTATGGTTATGTTTGATTTACATAGCTAATAGTAAGGTATTAATAATCCTATCAAATTAGTGTGATATTCACTATCTAATTGGATAAATTACCTATTGAATTAATAATCTCACTCCTACCTCATTACTAATAATCCTACAAATTTGTTGGATTAATTATCCATTCGATTAATAATCTTAAACTAAAATAATAAAACAAATATAGAATAATTGGGCTCACGGATTAATAATCTCAATCTCATATCCTAATCCATCCAATCAAACATGCCGTATGAGTTTTCTATCCATTATCAATTAATTTTGATTTTGAGTTGAGAACTCCAATAATTTAAACATATGTGACTATTTTTTTTTTTATGAATAATCTCTTCAAGAGATTAAAAAAAAATATACAATTTAAATCAATGAAATAAAATCAGCAAAATTATAAAATCGTTTAAAGTAAACCCGGCAATTTAAATTGTGGACCGGATGGAAGCTCAGCTCGAAGGCCACATGGGGTTCATTTGGCATGAAGGTTTGTTTTGAGTTAGGTGGAGGTTATTTTAGTCACAAAAGATAAAATAAGTTTTTTAATCTAATAAGGTAAAATGTCATATCTAAATTATAATTATTTTATTTTTTCTTTTATAAAAGTTAAAAAAAATCAAAAAATTCATTACAAACGAGATTATTTAACCAAAAAAGAAAAAAAAAAAAGAAAAAAAAGACAGTTCACACACATTGGCCTCTTTACTCTTTGCTTCTGATAGATAAACACCTTATCAGATAACAATGTGATATTGTGATAAGAACAGGATAACAAGCCTTCCTTAATGTGATATTGTGATAAGAACAGGATAACAAGCCTTCCTTCTATAACTAGCGGTGACCCGTGGGTAAGTAACAAAAAATGATAAATAATGTTGAACATGTTAAAAATTAACAATTAAACACTATGATATTTATTTAGATGTGTATTGAAATAATATATTTAGTGATCTTACTATATTTAATTAAATAAATTTTAGAAGAAAAAAAAGTTGAACTGAAAATTAAGAGTAAGAGTGGATTCTGTAAATATAAGATATAGATAAAAACAAATTAAGTTTAAATTTGAAGATAAACTATAAATATATATATATATATATATATATATATATAAGAAAATTAGACAAATCCTAGAAAAATGAGGGAGAGAGAAATTCAGTAATTGAAAAAAAAAAAAAAAAGTTGAAATTTAAAATTAAAAAATAAGAAAAGACAAACTTGAAAAAAAAAATAAATCTAATATAACTCTAATTACAGAAGAAATGGAGAGGGTAATAATTAAAAAATTAGATAAGAGTGAAATGCCACTTATAATTTTTTAAAATTTGTAAAAAAAAAAAACTAAAATAAAGTCGAGGTAGTATGTTAAAAATCAGATAAGATTTAAGTGCCACTTATAATTTTTTAAAATTTAAATTTTGTGTAGTTAAAAAATAAGCAATTATGTTATCTTATTATACAAATTTTAACTCTATTTTGTGTCTACTGCCTATAATTTAATCAAATTTTGTCTTCTAAAGCTACTTAATTGAAATAAGAAAGAATAAAAAATTATAAGAATATAGAAAGTGAAAATCAGTTAAAAATAGAATAAACTTAATTAAAAATCAAAAGCAAGAATCGATCCTGTAAATATAAGATAAAGATTAAAAAAAAAATCAAATGCAAATTTGAAGATAAATTATACAAATATAGAAAGAGAAACTTAAATAAATTGCAAAAGTAAAAAAGAGCAAAAAACATAATATGAGATTTAAAACATGTGCTTCTTTTTACATAAGATGCTAAAATTTTTGCATAATTAGTTAAATCACCCGTTTAATTTCTTTAGAACGTTATTTTTGTTCTCCAATCTTTTTGCCTAATTTCATATTGTCATAGAAGTTAGGTTTTGAGATTTATAAATTTATTTATTTATTTATTTCAAATATCCTTGGGTAAGACATAAATTGATGAAGAAATTTGAATTAGAGTCAAACTCATCTTTTATTTTTAAATATTTTGAAAATCTTTTTTCTTTAAATATTTTGAAAATCTTTTATATCCATGCCATAAGTAATTAAAAAGTGAAATAAAAAATATAAAAAATATAAGAACAAATAGAAAAATAGAATGAGAGAAGAATGGATGTGCCACGTAGGAAAGAGGTTCATGACATGTTAGGATTGAGAGTTTTGTTTTGATGAAGAAATTTGAATTAGAGTCAAACTCATCTTCTATTTTTAAATATTTTGAAAATCTTTTATCTTTAAATATTTTGAAAATCTTTTATATCCATGCCATAAGTAATTAAAAAGTGAAATAAAAAATATAAAAAAAATTAAGAAAAAATAGGAAAATAGAATGAGAGAAGAATGAATGTGCCACGTAGGAAAGAGGTTTATGAGTTGTTAGGATTGAGAGTTTTGAATTTTTTAAAAGATCACTACATTTGCTTATATATATAGTATAGATAGAAGGATTGTTATCTAATATAGCTTCCTTCTCGTCTCTTCTCCTTGTTTCTTGCTTCCCATCTCTCTCTCTCATTGGCATTGGCATTGGCATTATGGCAAGACCTGTACCAAGCCTTTCCATGCAAAAACTCCCAGTCTTGTCCATGTCATTCACCTGTCTCTTTATACTAATAGGAGCCTTCTCTATATTCTCCATTGTCACATTTCTATGTGGTTCACACAGACGAAAGGACGAAAGAACCGTGGGGTTGGGCAACAAGAAGCCTGTTTCAAGGTTGCAAAGTAATTTAATGGTTAAGATGATCTCTTGGAGAAAGGTCCAGAATGAAGAAAAAGAAGAGAAAGAGCTTGATGTTGATGAAGATGCAGTGTGGAGGAGGACGATCATGATGGGAGAGAAGTGCAGGCCTATGGATTTTTCTGGGAAAATTTTGTATGATTGTAATGGAAATCTTCTATCCGATTCACCTCACGATCAGAGCCGCAGAAAATCCTAACTTTTTTCATGGGTGTGAATGTCTTGTTCCAAATACTAAGGTCGATCTCAGGATTTGAATCCTCTATTCCACCCTCTGTTTCAAACTCCCTCTCTATCACACGATACATAAAAATTGTATGATAAAGAGAGTACTTGGAATAAGAGTACATTAGAAAAATGGGACTGCAGATCTTTAGTCTTCTATTTTCTTTTCTTTTTTGTGTTTCGTTTATCTGTTTTCTTTAAAAATGAATATGTTTTGCAACAAAAGTTGTGAATAGAAAAAAATAATTTTTGTTAATGTTGCAAGAAGTTTAAATTTCTTTCAATTCAACTGAATGCGCCGTACGGTCATTTCACTGGCCCTCTCATGAAAAATTGAATTGAAAATCTAATTAGCTGCGTGCATTTTCTTTATTAAAATTGGCACTATCATTCTAACTCAAATTAATACATCAAAAAAACAGGTAATGTTATGTAATTATTCAACAAAACCAAACTCCTAGTGTGTAATTTTCCCAATCGGTACATCTATTATCAGAGAACAATACAATCTACAATCCAAACTACGGGTGATGCTATGGTACATTTAGATGTGTCATACATTTAGTTATGAACTTATATGATTTTATATCATAATCAATATCATATTAGTCATAACTACTATCATATTAACTCATAACTTAGTTATATTCAATTATTTACTTATACCATATTACTTCATAACCAGGTCATAACTAAGTTATTTAAATAATTTGACTCTCAAATTAGGCAACTGGTGTAACCGGTTACCAAACAGAGCAAAGTATCAGAGTAGTCCAACAGTTTGAAGTCAGTTGGCCTCCCTCTCTGGCTCGTGCTCTTGCTCTTCTCTTCTCCTCCCTCCTCTCTTTCACCATAGCCGAAGCTTCAGCCATTGTCGAAGACCACCAGCCCCGTCGGCGTCGGGGCCACCATTCTCTCAGTGTAGACATCTTTCTTCATAACCTCTCACTCTCTTGACGTCAAGAACTAGAGTTTCTTCCATTCTAATCAAATATTTCCAAGAGATATTTCCTGTAGCTCAGGTTTGTTTCTAACTCTAAACTTCATTTACATTAGGGCTTTTGATTTGAAAACCCTAACCTTTATTGAATATCTGATATTAAGTTTGGTTCTCAATGAAAATTAACATATGTATCCAATAGTTGTGCCACTTTGATTTCAGAACTGAAGAATGAATATCTGATATTAATTTTTATTTTATCAGCTTTTTCCTCTAAAAAAGTTCAAAATTTGTAATCCAACTATTGGCTCTTTCTCTATCTCTCTTTGATTGTATCTAGAATCAGCAATGTCATTGATCACATTCCCAAATCATCATCTGTTATACCTTTCATAGCATAAACAAATAGTTAAAATAATGATAATGAACCTGCCTATCAACAACTAGTCTAACTGGACATAAGAAATTTCACATTAACAAACAGTATATGTCGGATATGCATGATATGTGCCGAAACATCCAACTCATATTTTCAAATTTTGTTTCCCAAACAAATTCTCTGTTCTTATGAGAAATAACATAGGAATAGATTCATCAAACAGAACAACCAAAAATGGGTTAATCTGGGAAAAAAATTCAAATATTCTTAGTTTCACACTTCTATGATATAACAATCGCGTAAATTCGAGTATTTTGTTGATTTGTAGAGATGAGCTAAGCTGTCGTGAATCGTAGGCTGCGTTTACTAGAAAAAGTGGTGTTTGAATTTGCTGAGCCATATTTTGGGGGAAAAAACATTGCAACATAGTTGAGATGTATTGGTACAATTGACAAGAAATTAGGGAATAAGGAACAATACGATTGAGATAACAAACAACTCTTACCAAACCAGGTTCCATTTTTGAAAGTGCACGATATGGGTAAATTTTTTGCTGATCCTTGAGTAGCAGAGTCAAATGAAAGTTAGAATCTGAACTCACATCAGCAAAATGAAAACCACAAAAATTGTAATGGAAACATCATGTGACAGAGAGATTGAGAGAGGGTACATGTGTGGTGACTACGTCGTTGTAGAAGGCTTCAATGTGTTGTGTTCCGGAAACATCCTTCCTGTTTACAGTACCATGGTGTTTTTAGTTACAGAATAAAATGAAAAATTTTCAATTCTTGCATAATTCAGAAATATGATTGTGATTGTAAGTCGTATAGAAGAGCTTACGTATTGATAAAATAGCCAGCGTCCGAAAGGCATTTTACTTTAGTACCGATGGGTAGGAGAGCTCGGAAGCAATCACAATGCAATATGCATGTTAAACCACCAGCTGAACCACCCGAGATGATAGCCTATTTGAACAGAGTTTTAGGAGTAATTAAGAACAATGATAATGATGATGAAGAGGGAGAAATAGAGTATGCAACATAGATATGAACCACACATACATTTGCAGCATTCTTCATTCCTTTTGCTAATAGATCCTCAATAACAGCGGCAAAAATCCTTGCACCTCTGAAGTGAAGATTAGTAGCCTGATGAAAGTAAAAATGCAATCATAAATCAAACAAAATACAAATTTACAAGCGATGTAGGTACTAATCTCCTAATTTTGTTGTAATTGCTACTAATATAACTCACGGGATTGACTGCTTCGACATCGCCTGTAAATGATGACCCATCGCAGTACATAACCTTGATCCTATTCCAATTGTAGAAGTCTGTGTATTGAAATAGAGTTAATTTTCTTAATTAGGAAAGAAACTCAAAAACCTGTGAAAGTTCAAAGGGAAAGAAATGAAATCCAGATCAATTGGGCATACCTAGATTAAACTTTTGCAGGTTGCTCAGAAGCCCAGAGAAAGCAAGCTGATTTGCCATTTGCTTAGATGAACCTAGACGAGTGTTCTTACGGGCAAGGCAAGTTGTAACATTGTTACACCATCCTCCTCCCTGAAAATACACAGTAGACAATGTTCATTTTTTTTAATTTTTTTTTTCCGGGTAGGATGTTCTCTATAAAATCCATTAAAGATCTTGCAATGAAACTCTCAAAGCAATCAGTAAAACCAAATGACTAATACATCAAATGGGTTTTATAGAAAAGCGTCAAATGCCTAACTTACTCACTCACAATGAACTACCAAGGATAGTTATCTTAGCAATCAGGTGGGGTGGGGGTAGGGAGCGAGAGCATATAGAAGTTTCTAAGATTATGAGCATATATATATTTTATGTATTAAATATCCTCAAAAATTACTTTCTTCTGTTCAGTTGTAATATGTGTTTAAATATGAATTATTATTGAAGTTTGATGTCAACAAATTGTTTTCATGAAGTATAAATAATATAATATAAACACAAAGTATTAGAATAAGTTTGAGTTATTTTTCTTTTGTTTATTTAACATTTGTATGTTTCACAGCTTGTATCTCTGTTGAGAGAGATTTTCTTCTCGATGGGAGTTAGTTTCTTACTTGGGAGGACAAAATTATGTTTCCAAGTAAGAAACGTCACTCAAGTAAGAGTTTCCTACTACTAAACATCAAAGCACTCAATTACATCATTGCAATTATCCAATTAGTATTTCAAAAAAATCAAAATCAGTTCTTAATTCAATTTCCAATAATGCTGCAGAAAATTGGGTATCTTATATGATTTCACAATTCTTATTTTTCTTTTCAATCATCTTCTTAACAACAAACAAATCATTTTTGTATTGTAAAACAAAATGGTAAATGAAGGACCAACCTCAAAATGAACCAACCAATTGTTAATTCCTGCTCCAAACCCCTTATCAAGATGGTAAGTCGGGGGAGACCCATCCAAACAAACTGCACAATATCAGAATCCCAAACACATTATAGTCAAGATTGTAAAAAAAATTTAAATTGGCTTATTATGAAGAAGATTTTAACCTGCTTCTTTTGCAATAGCATTTTGAACATAAGTTATGCCAACATAGAAGCCTTCTGTTTTGAGCAATATCAGTACACAAACTAGCATTTGCAACCATTGTCCTAATCTCCCATTGGCCATTATCCACCTCTGTTAAACATACCATACCATTGAAATTCTAAGAATTATATGTAAATAACAGAGAAACCCAAAAAAAAAAATAATAATAATAATAATTAATTTAATTAAATTACAAGGAATATATTGGGAAATTTGATAGAGAATAAATTGTTTTATTGATAGAGAATAAAACCCAGATGAGTATTTTTAAATAAGCATTAATGTTACAATCTCTAAGTTCGTTGACTCTATTGTTACAACTACACTCATTCCTATAGCTATGATTGTGGTCTTTTCGTCATCAAATATATGCAAGGGAAACCTTTGCCTTCGGGTGTAATCAAGGTACTTACATTTATACCCAACTGTCCACTTATCAGTATCTTATGTTTTATGAAGACTAATTTTATAATGTGTGATGTTTTTACGTACTCACTACTTTTGGCATGTAGTTTGACTATTTGCATAGGGCTCGCATTCATATATATATATATATATATGAATTGTGTGGTGTGTTTGGTTTGGTTTTATTCTTTTTATTAACCAAAAGAGAAGAGAAGAGCCGACCGACAAGAATTGGCTCGAAACCCAATAAAAAAACAGAGGCACCAAAAAGTGAAACCCAAAAAAAAGCTGCTGCAATGCGAGAAAGAGAATTTGCAGCATAGAGAATCTTATCGGTTTACGCGCTCCTCTTTCTAAACTCTACAATTAATGAATTACAGGTGGATAATAGTGATTACTGTTTTTTCAGGGGTTAAACTTTCAATTTCACTAGACGTTGCAATTTTTTATCGATAACAATCATTAAATGGAGGTTTCCCCTCAGGGGTGATGCTATGGTACATTTAGATGTACCATACATTTAGTTATGAACTTATATGATTTTATATCATAACCAATACCATATTAGTCATAACTACTATCATATGATCAAGCCCAACCATGTTTGGAAATCCCCTATGAGAGATTTTTCTAAGACGTAAGAAATCCCTAGTCAACCCATCATTGCCACCTCCACCACCGCCGCCTTCATTACTTCCCCTCATTGCCATCCTTTTGGCATTACATGGTCTAATTTTTTTTTTTATCACCCAAGTAGAGAGAGAGAGAGAGATAGCTTAATCCTCCAAGGTGACCATAAGGGACGAAAGAGCAACAAAAAGCACAACAAAAGCTAATGACCTTCAATAAACCCCTCCCACTTCCAACTTAGTTACTCCCACTCTTCCTAGCAGGATTACCAACCATCCTTGGCTTCTTCTTCCCTTTTTTTTTTTTTTTTTTGGCTTTAATAGAAGGTAAGTAACAATGATAAACACAAGCAAACTAATAAAGAAAATATAAAAAAATAAAAAATCATCCGGATTGAAATAGAGTGATGATAGGATTACCTCCAACATTCATGTCAAATAACACATCTGACCGCATATCGAACTAGCAAATACACACATCTTGATTTTCCATTAAATAATAAAAAAAATATCAAAATTACTTGATTTGAGAAAAACCTATTTTCATTCAAAACCCTCAAACTTCAAAGACACTAAATTATTAATTTACTTCTTATTTTTCTTTTTCTTTTCTCCCCCCCTACTTTGTTGTTTATTGCTTTTTCTACAAGAGCATGAAGATACATGAAACAAAAAATGCCTTTAAAAAATTATTGTTCTTCTGTTTTTGGGGTCTTTGATTTATTGATTCATTCCAAACTAGAGTTTATATGGATTTATGTGTGGTATGTATGGTCATGCTACTACACCCCTTTTGAGATGTGTACCATATGCAAATTATAACATTTGGCCTAATTTCCAAAGGATTTACACTCTAACATGTATCCTAATTAATATGCTATATACTTATTAGAGTTCTATAAACCCTCATGTGTAATTGTAATTATTTTACTTTTTTCCATCACTAATGATGCCCTTTCATATATGCTATTTTCCCACCACCTCATTAACTCTTTTACAAATAACAACTTCATTTTGGAATTTTTAAAGTTTTGGCATGTTGGTTTATGTCTTTTAATTTTTTTCCCTCTCCCTTAGTTTTGTGTTTTGGTTGAAATGCTTCATTCCTTATTTTTGGCAAGTAAAAAGAGAGCCCAATACCTCTTACATCTGTGCTTATATTTCGATCAACGGAGTACATTACAGCTATTGACTTCTGGTTTGCTGGTTGTGTTGTTGCTGAACTACTTCTTGGACAGGTACATATTTTTTCCTACAAGGTCCTCTATGCTTCAATATATTTAAATTATATGGTATGCGTGATGGCCAAATTAAAAAGCAAAATATTTATGATATAACTTGTACAGTCACACCCTCATTCATCACAGTTTTTGTATTAAAAAAAAAAAAACTAAGACTAAAAGTATAAGGTCAAAGTTAAAAATTGTGACCTTTAACCAATTTTGTAGTAGTGCTCATATATTAGTATTATTTATTATGAATCTAAAGTATCAATGATAGAATAAATGTAAATAATAAAATCAAATAATAAGCATAGCATTAATACAAGAGAAGCTCTATTTACAACCCAAGATTCAATTGTGAGTGGCAGTGGGTTATAACAGTATGCAAGGGTCCTTAGTGCATCAAATCTTTAGTTAGTGTATGTATATTACTGAATACAACTGTATCAAATCATTCTCCCATTTTCTAATTTCTTGTATTTTGTATTCTAAAAAACAAATTGCTTCCCTAAACATTTATAATTTTCAAGTGCTTTATGTGGTTCAAGCCATCCCCAAACCCATGCAGAGAATAAAAAAAAAAATTTAGCAAGATAAAATATGGGAAAGTGAACCACAACATAGCTAAAACCAAAGCAAGTAAAACCAGTTAATAAAGATATTCAACCTTCTGACTGAACACCTAAAGTGAGACTTGAAGCAGCAAAGGAGCTATACATAACCATGACATCGTTTTTTATTTTTTTCTACAATAGTCCCAAAAATAAATAAAAAACAATGTCGTTTTTATTATCAATTCGTATGGTGCCAAAATATTTGGCTCCTTTTTGCGACAAAAAAATTTCCTTACCAAATTACAAATTTTGTCCAAAAAAATTAACTTCTTTAGTCTGTTTTTTACGGTAATGTGACCTAAGCTACTGGGGTATCATTTTTTGTTTATGATTAGAATTTTTTTTAGTGTCTTTCCTTTTTACATTGGAAACATAGTCTTTGTGAACTACATTATTATAAAACAAATCCATTCATGTGTGCATGTCGTGCATTTGATGAATGTACTATAACCTTTAAGATTTTTGTTTGTTTGTTTGTTTTTTTTCCTAATCAAAGATATTATGAGTTTATTTTTCTTGTCTTTCTTTACAAGGAATTCTGATTGAAGCCTAATGGATAAACCGACTGATCCTCCAAAGCGTCCGATCACTCCATTCATTTTCTTTTGGTATTTCGTTAATATCTATTTGTATGTAGTTATATATTTTCCGTTATACGAATTCTTATATTCATTTTCATATTTTTATAGCCAAGAACAATCAATGGAGTTAAAAAAAACCCAAATGAAAGTAGACATGAAGGTAAGTGCAACGTATTCTTGTTGTTTGTAGTATTCCTTTTGTACTTGTAAGCTTGTATGTAATTGTTCATATGATTTTATGCATGTAATGTAGGATATTGGGGACAAATGGAATCACCTTCCTGAAGAAGAAAAAAATAAGTATATACAAATGGGAAAGCTGCAATCTGAACAATATGCCCAATTAAAAACTGTGGTCCAACAAAAGCCTCCAAAAGTAAAAATTCAAACCCGGATTGAGCTTACATCGATTTGTAAGATTATTAGAAGGTTGGACAAAGCACAACAACAAGCAGTGACTGATATGGGGTTTCATGGCATCCTAAGCCTTAGGTGCACGCACATAGATCATGACTTGTGCCATTGGTTAGTTCAGAACTTTGATCCTTCAACTCATTCATTGAATGTCCACGGTCTTCGAATGCTTCTCACCATAGAAGATGTTCATGAGTTGATGGGATTACCTTCCAATGGTCTACCTGTGAAGTTAACAGAGTCCGTAGATGAAATTACAAACCTATGTCATGAACTTGCGGTGAAGAATAAATTTGTTCCGTTCACATCTCTAAAATCTTATCTGCTTGAAACAAAAGATGCTGGAACTGAATTTAAAAGGAAATTTGTCTTATACATCATTGGAGCCCTCTTGTGCCCCACCACAAAGGCAGGTGTACACCAATCATTCATTCAAATGGTTAAAAATGTTGAGTCCATTAGTCAATTCAATTGGGCAAAGCACACACTTGATTTTCTTGTCGACCGCATTGCTATTGCCAAGGTCAAAGAGCGGTCTGCTATGTGCGGCTGTTTGTTTCTTCTAATGGTACCCCCCTTGATGTGTAATTATTTCATCTATTATTTTTTATTGCATATTGTCTAACACACATTAAAATGACTTCTTTTTCTTCTTTTTTTTTCCCATGTAGTTATTTTACTTGGAACAATTTGTTCGCAAAAGGGAGTTGGTGGCTACTTCCAACTCCATTCCTCGCTTATCCTATTGGGGCAATTTAGAAATTAAGCAGGGTTTGAATCAAATTAAAGCTTTGGGAGGATATTTAAATGTTGAGGTAAATATTTACAACACATGACTTTTTATAATTATAGCTCAATTTACATTACACCTGTGACATTAACAAGTTATTGTATATGTGTGAATAGGTGGCTTTGCCTAACATTGTTGAAAAGTCCAATGCAGTAACTCTTAGCCAGGGAAGAATTGACAACAATGATGACTCCCGATTGGCTAAAGTTGAGAAGCAAGTCATTGAAATTCATGCCCTTTTGGTCCAAGGCCACAAGGACACAAGGCAACATGAGGATGAGAAACGTCTAACCAAAGTGGAGAATCAAGTTGAAAAAATTCTTGAGCTGTTAGAAAAACACATGCCAGTTGATGGAGAACAAGTTAAAACACCACCAAGCAAACTACTTGCAGAGCAGCGACTGGTCAAAATGGAGAACCAAGTTGGTCAAATTCTTGAGTTGTTAGAACGACGCATTCCATTTGATGGTGGACATGTTAA